AATGGACCGTGAACAGACGTTCCCGTGGGTGTTGCTTGACAGTAAATGTTGCTCCTGTGTGCTCACGTACACGTGTGTGTGTGTGTGTGTGTGTGTGTGTGTGTGTGTGTTTGAATGTGCATGTTAATAATGCATGTTAGTTACATAAGAACAGCATCACATATTCCTTAAATATATTCATTGAATTTGCCTTTTATCCCACTGTTCTTCCACTGGAATCTGCCCATCTTTGGGGACACCTTGAAATTGTTTTATCTTGACTCTCACTTTTTAGTTATGGAAGAAATACAGCAAGGGCCTCATGAAACAAGTTCAGCTTAGGTAGTGTTTCAGCTTCACAAAACCTTCCAAAAAGGACTGTGGGTAAAGGAGAATTCCACTGACTGTCCACAATTTCTGCATAATTAAATCATTAAGATGTAAACAAAGTGGTTCAGAGTGGTTTGGTGTGAAATACTTCATTCTAGAGAAACTTGCCAAGTCAGCATTGTTCACAGTGGTGGTGATAGGAACCAGACGTCCAGAGAGTTGAATGCCTCTAAAAGTTCCCTCACGGAAATATGTTACACATAATAATTATGAATACGCCACCTGATGCCTGAAACATTGAGAGCGTTTATATGCACTTAATAATCCGATAACTGCAGAAAATCAGATTTTGTCAGTAATCCGATCAACGCATTTACATGCTCTTGAGTAATCAGATAATGGGAAACTCCGGGTCTACATGAGTCAGACAGTAATCAGATTTCTACATTGAAACCAGCCAATGAACTCACAGTAGAAGACGTGGCGTAAACGTAACGTAAAACTCAAACTTCATGCTGCATTTTTTTTTAAACATTGCGCCACTTTACCTGAAAATATGAACGTACATTTAGAATATGAAGAATATTTTAATCCTTTATTTCCTGTTTGGTTTCAGCGCCTCTCCAAAAGTGTTTTGCTGCATCTTGCGACATCCACTGTCTGTTCTCACGCATGTGCAGGCAGAGAAATCCGAAAGAAATCAGAGTAAGAGTTCACATGCACTGAGAAATCTGATTACTGACCTAAAATCCAGCTCTCATTATCGGATTACTAGATCGAAGTATGGTGTTTACATGACCATTTTGAATAATCAGATAACTGCAGAAATCCGATTATAATCGGAATACTGAGTGCATGTAAACACACTCATTGTTTAATGATAGGTCTGAGATGAAGTTAGGCAGGCATTGTAGAGCAAAGTAGGCCCCAAAAGAATTTTTTTAGATTTACCATAATCAACTTTAGATATTAAAGCTCAGAAGACACGTGTACACTCTTAGAACAGATGGTTCTTCTTTAGGAAAGACAATGCCTCTATGTAGAACCATGAACACTCAAAGAACCATATTTGCATGGTGTAATCATTCTTCAGATCGATGAAGGATGTGTTGTATATGGTTCTATATAGAACCTTTTTGAAAAGGGTTCTTCTATTGTTACAAGCTTGACTTCGTAGCAATAGAAGAACCCTTTTTGGTGTTATATCATATTTAAAAGTGTCAAAAGCAACAGTAAAATAGCAATACTGTCCCACTGCCGCTCTGTTAGTGCTTATTGGAGTAATAACTGCTTTATTTTCTTGATATCAGTGACTAGAAAATGACTGGAGATGTCCACCTCCGTCAGTCTCTGATCGGTCCAAAGCTCAGCTCTGACTGGTCCAGGAGCTGTTCATGGCCCTGAACTCATAATTGCTGAACTGAACCTGCCCTGGAGCAGGTTAAACATGCAGCATAAGTTGCCATGGTGATGTAGCCCAGTAAAAGTGATCTGTCATCATGAGACAGAACTAAGCTTAAAGGGGAATGCCACCAATTTTTCACAATTTCGGCACATACAGACTTCAAGTCTTTCAGAACAGCCGTGAAATGGATTTTATTTACTGTCCAAAACTACCAGCTAACTTTTTTATGTAAACCTGGTAATGGTAAAGTTTTATTTTCGAACTATCTTGCCTTAAAACACCCTGCATGTTCCCCTCCATCATAAATGGATTTTGGGCATTTTAAGCCTAAACCTTATCTCAAAACTATCAAAAGTATTTTAGGCATCAGGTTGTGTGTTAGGAACCTTTTCATGTAATACATTGTTGTGAGGGAGCTTTGAGAGGCATTAAAGTTTTAAGACATCTGGTTCCCATCACCACCACTCTTTTTAAAGCACTTAATGAGCATTAATATAAGTACTTATTGAACTGTACTGTACTGCACTATGTCTAATGCTGTTTCTTTTTCTCTAGGTATCAACATAGGCTTTGTTAGCAATGTCTGAGCTCAGGAGTAGCTTTTACTCTAACCTAATTGTACTGGCTAAGATGCTTTCTCTGAGTAGACAAACAGCACTTTTGTAAGTCACTGTGGATAAGAGCGTCTGATAACTGCTGTAAGTGTAAATGTAAATGAACAATTCTGACTCAATTTCTCTGTAACAGAGCATTTTACATCAGATCACTCAGAATTACTTTGTTTATATCCTAATGATTTAACTATGCAGACATTTCAAAATATTGGTGGAAGTCCCCTTTAATGTTAACTGGCTACATAAGAAATCCTGCTTTGTTAGACCCTGCACATGTTTTATTATCATAAAACGGCTGTTTACTATTATGGGTATGTTTTGCATGTCTTCCCTTGTTTATAGAATGGGGTCTTCCTAAAAAATGATTTGACAGTTTTCTATTGTTATAAAAGCACATATTGAAAATCTTCTGCTTCAAAAGTGGTTCAAACACCTGAAAGGTTTGAGAGCTGATGAGTGCTGACATCACAACAAGGGGATAAAATGTGTGGGCTTTGGCATTCTTCCCCAGGCAGAGCTTGTGTCAGTTGTTCCTTCGGTTTTGCAGTTTTTGCAAAGAAAACAGCTTTCCATTTAACCCTTTAATGTCAAGGCCAAAAAGCCTCTATTTCAGCCTCATAACCTCCTCCTTTATTCTCAGAAAAAAAGGCACTAAACTGTACCTTTCAGGGTGCAGGCACTATCGCCAGGGTAGCACCCTCAAGGGTAAGTCTTCAGTACCCTTAGTTAGGGGAGTTTTGATGGTGTATTTAGATTTTACCTTTAAATTTCTTAATGCTGTCATCACATTTATTTTGACATGTAAATAACATGACAAAAACAACCATGTAGATGTTTATGTTGCTTATGTCACAAACTACTATTATGAATAAGCAAACATGAAGAGGAACATTCATTTGCATTTTAATCATTTTAATGCATTTTAATCTTTAAGCTCTGCCCACTCACATTGAAGTCATAAAAGCATGACTGCTTTTTGAATAAAGCACAATACAGGGCAGCCAATCACAACAGAGGTCATTTACTTATACCAGTTTGGTACCAGGCTGATTGTTTGTTTCTACGCTCACTGTTCATTTTATCAGCTCCACTTACTATATAAGTGCACTTTGTAGTTCTACAGTTACAGACTGTAGTCCATCTGTTTCTCTGTGTACTTTGTTAGCCCCCTTTTACCCTGTTCTTCAGTGGTCAGGACCCCCATGGACCCTCACAGAGCAGGTTCTATTTGGGTGGTGGATCATTCTCAGCACTGCAGTAACACTGATGTGGTGGTGGTGTGTTAATGTATGTTGTGCTGGTCTGAGTGGATCAGACACTGCAGTGCTGCTGGAGTTTTTAAACACTGTCCACTCACTGTCCACTCTATTAGACACTCCTACCTTGTCAGTCCACCTTGTAGATGTAAAGTCAAGGATGATAGCTCATCTGCTGCTGCACAGTCTGTGTTGGTCCTCCTCTAGTCCTTCATCAGTGGTCACAGGACGCTGCCCACAGGACACTGGCTGTTGGCTGTTGGTGGACTATTTTCAGTCCAGCAGTGACACTGAGGTGTTTAAAAACTCCAGCAGCACTGCTGTGTCTGATCCACTCAGACCAGCACAACACACACTAACACACCACCACCACATCAGTGTTACTGCAGTGCTGAGAATGATCCACCACCCAAATAGAACCTGCTCTGTGAGGGTCCATGGGGGTCCTGACCACTGAAGAACAGGGTAAAAGGGGGCTAACAAAGTATGCAGAGAAACAGATGGACTACAGTCTGTAACTGTAGAACTACAAAGTGCTCCTGTACAGTTAGTGGAGCTGATAAAATGGACAATGAGAGTAGAAACAAGGAGGTGGTCATAATGTTATGTCTGATCGGTGTATAGCAATGCAGAAAACAGTCTTGCTTAGATTTAGGATGAACATCGCTCATTTGGAGATGAATTGACTGATTTGCATTTATAATCACTCCAGCTGGTTTCCTGATACATTTAATCTGTAATGAGAAACTGTCAAACACTAGAGTCGCGAAGCTGAAGTCAGTTTCTCATTCGCCAGCTTCTTCATCAAATTTTCCCGTTCTACCTTAAATGGTGCAGCAGTAAGCTACATGTAAGGTGGAACTGGAGAATTTGAACAAGAAGCTGGCGAATGACAAGCTGACTGCCGTTGAATGTTAAGAGACATTTTACAAGAAACTGTCCTACTTTTGTGGAAAAGTTTCCTGCCAGAGATGCGAGAAAAACGACTATAGCTGAGCTAAAACTTAAAGCAGAGCAAAGTAAGTCTGGATTTTTGTTTATATTCTATTTTTTTAGCCAATACTAGTACATTAGCACATACTGAGACGTATTTATAGCAAAGATGCCGAAACATTACTTCAATAAAATGGACATGAAATGTTGTGGCTCTCAAGGTGGTTAGATTTTTGTTGAAACTTCACAAAATGGCTCCTTTTTTACATTTGAAGAAAGGTTGGAAAATAGTCATGTAAGAATAAATTACAACTGTTTAACATAAAGAAAACAGCAACACGCAAATTATATAAACAAAGATAAATAAAAAATAATAATAATTAAATGCCAGGAAAATTTAGGATATGAGTTCTTTAAGCAGCTGTTGTTCCAGTTTTACTCTATTACTATTCATTATATACTTTTTCTGTACTTTTGTATCAGGCATGACCTGCCAGGCCCGCACCTCGTACACGGAGGATGAGGTCCTGTGGGGTCACCGTTTCTTCCCGGTCATCTCTCTGGAGGAGGGCTTCTTTAAGGTGGACTACTCGCAGTTCCACGGCACCTTCGAGGTCCCCACTCCCCCCCACAGCGTCAAAGAGCAGGAGGAGAGTTTGCTGCTGTCTTCGCCCCTTACTGCCCCCTCGCTGTGCCATAGCACTGGCGGCCTTACTGAGGGCAGCGGGACTCTAGAGGGTCTGGAGCTGCAGAGCGACGCAGAGACCGCATCGGTCAACATGGCCGCCCCGCTGTCTAGCACCAAGCTTCCGGCCAAGCTGCAGAAGCTGACCGGCCGGGACGGAGGTGGACGAGATGGCATGCCCCGCAAGCTGCTGCGCATGAGCTCCGAAATCACTTACAACCTGGGAGACCTGCCTGTCAAGCTCCAGCGGATAAGCTCCGCCCCCGGCGTGGCTGAAGAAAGGTTACCACCGATCAGCTCCCTCCTCAGCCCCACCGAGGACAAGCTGCCTCCCAAACTAGGGCTGGTTGGCGGGATTGAACCCATCAGCCAATCGGTGACAGACCTGCCCCCCAAACTGCAGCGGTTGGCTGGTGGGGTAGGAGGGGTCGGGATTGGAGGGAGAATGGACGGTCACCTGCCGCCCAAACTCCGGAAGATGAACTCAGAGAGGTTCACAGGGTTAAGTCTGAAATGAACTGACTTGCCATTTACCTCCTTTGTAATCGTGGCTGAATAAAACGGACAATAACGTTAAAGCGATACTTCAGAAAATTACATTTACACAATTTTGCCCTTCCCCCAAATGTGGTTGGTGCGCCAGGACATGTTTGGTGTCTGAATTTAGCTTGTTTTTATACTGGAGCTCAATGCCTAATGTAGCTGAAGAGCAATGGAAGCTTAAGTGGGCAGTATACTTGAAATGAACATGCTGTCAGAAAGTGTACCGAAAGGGCCCATACCATGGAAAAATGAATTAAAAAAAAAGTTATTTTCAAGTTAAGATGTGAAAATAAGTGAACACATCCTCTACACTTTCGCACATTTCAAGGCACAATTACTGTTTGCTGAATTTAACATAAATGGAAAAAAACAACAAAAAACAAACAGTATGACCTGGGCTGCATGTTAAACTCAGCAAATTAACAGAAATTGTGCACTATAACTGGCAGAACATGCCATATTTAAGTTGGGTTGAAGAGAGTATGTTAACATATTTTCACTTAAAAAATTTAGCAGAACTTAAAATAAGCAAGCGCTATTGCCCCGAGACACAGCAAAACACTTGGAGCGTTGCTGAAACCAACTACATACTTGATGAAACCAAGTATTTAAATATTTCTCATCTTCTAGATGATATATGTTTTTAGTTTCAGGTAAAGTGGTGCAGTGTTTTTTTAAAGAAAAGGCCGTGGCATGAAGTTTAAGTTGCTTTTGCGTCACGTCTTCTTCTGTGAGTTTACTGGCTGGTAGCAAAGCAAAAATCCGACTACTGCCCGACTCATGTAGATCTGGAGTTTTTACATTATCTGATTACTCAAGTGCATGTAAACGTGTTGATCGGATTACTGACAAAATCTTATTTTCTGCAGCTATCGGATTAATAAGTGCATGTAAACACACTCAATGTTTCTGCGATGTTGCAAGAACCAACTCATTTACATATATTCACAACTAACAGCAGTTTAGCTCCACTCACTCACACTGAGAAGTGTTTGAGCCCTGAGTGCTTTTTGAATGAGGCACAGCCAATCAGAACTCATTTGTCTTATATCAGTCTTAAAGGCACAGTAACAAAAACAACCTGTTTAATTCCGAGGGATAAAGAGAGGTTGGAAAATGTTCGTGTATAAATGATTTATGACTATTTTTGGTCCATAAAACCGTACAAATGTTATAAGTGGACCTCCAAGAAATTGGGCTCTTTAGAAAGAACTGTGTGTACGTCTTTCTGTCAGCACCACCCTTTGTGCAGTTATGCAGGCAACCATGTACCGTGTGAACCAGCGGCAAACGAGCCTCAAAACAATTGACTCAGTAATTAGAAGTTTTGTTTAGTTCTCCAGGGCACGCTGCACCATACGAACAAAACTGTCATATTATTTAGCCAAGAAGACTTCGATATGTCTTTTTCATTCGAAGCACACTCCCAGCTTTAGGGTCGTCACAAACTTGCCTTAAATCGCATTAAATTATTAAGTAATGCATTAGAACACCAGAGGGAGTGTGTTTTTGTGAATAACAGCACGGCTGGGATTTGGTCGCAGGCACAAGCCAAAGACGAGTACATCATTGCAGCCATGGGGTTATTCACGAAAACACACCATCTCACGTGTTCTATTGCTTTCATACAGTTCTGCATAATAAAGAAAAGAGTAAAGCAAAGAATCCTCAAACATTGTATCACATGGGCTTCATAGCTGTAATTTCTACAGCCCAAAAAAAAAGGACGCTGTTGTGTCACGGCTAGAGCCATAACACTGTCACAATATCAGGTTTCATGGTTCAGCTTCTCTGAAAAGCCTTTCACGGTCCATCTTGGCTGAATCTGTTAGTTTCTGGCTAATTCCAGTTTGTTTAATTCATCTGCCGTCACAGTTGCCAACCGAAAAAGCTCACTTTGATGTAGGCCTGATGTCACACTCTTCTTCAGAATCTGATTAAACGGTCTTCAGGTCAGATATTATCTTATAGACGTTATCTAAGTTTGTGAACTCTTCGAATTTTCTATATTTCTGCATAGATTTGACCTAAAACTTCATCAGATTTTCACAAAGATTGCACAGAGTAATATTGGATAATTTTCCTCAATAAATATATAGGCAAACCTAATATTTTTGTCTCATTTGTTTAATTTGGTTCTTTTTATTTACTATTAAGACTTGTGTGAAAATCTGATGAAGTTTTAGGTCAAATTTATACACAAATACAGAAAATTCTAAAGGGTTCCCAAACTTTCAAGCACCACTGTATCTAATGTGTCCATTTTCTGTTATTGTATGTGCTGAAGTAGAACCTTGTTAGCGGTTAGCTGCAGAGTAAAGAGAGTCATTTCTTAGCAGCTGGTGCTCAGCAGAATGATACAGTTACTGTAAGAAGTGCTGTTATTTTTGGTTAGGACACTTCTCAACCAATCAGATCGTGCCATCTGAAAGAAATAGTTTGAAATTTGTTTGTACTTTTTTATAGCTAATAATATGTAACACAGTGTCAGAAATCTCATACGCAAGTGTATTTGACATTAACAAGTCAGCAAGGTTTAGGTATGCAGGTTTGCACATAGTTTGTTAGCAACATTAGCCTTGTAGCCAAACTAAAGCAAACTTCAGACGCCAAACATGTCTTGGCTGATCGACTGCATCTGCCGTAATGTGAAAACTGTGTGAATTAATTTTAGTTTGAAGCATCGCTTTAAATACGGAACATTTTCTATATGAATAATATTAACCTGATATTCCTCAGCACAATCTGGCATGTTTTTTCCACCAAGAGCATGAACTAATGACACATATTTAACAGATAATTAATACAAAACGCATTATTTATCAGTGTTCGTCAAGGACTCAGCTTATAGCCTCATAGTCCATAGTCTACAACTCCTTGTGAGGGCTTTGCTACTCTTAAAATAGTATGTTTATGTTAAAGCGTTAGGACATCTCGATATCGTTATCCAAGTGGGTTTGAGTTTTGGCGAAGGACAGTTCACTCCATGTCCAAATGTTCTTCTCTGCTCCACAATTTATGGTAACAAAAGCAAAAAGTCAGTGGCTTCTGTTATGCCTGAGTTACCTTGCATCCACACCATAATTTGACATCCACTGGCCACTTCCAAGGAACGGACTCACTTCGGACATTCCAGTGTTTTCCCCACAACTCCCCTCAGGCTCTTGCGTTTCTTCTCTTGCATGTTCAGTATCTATCGTTTCATAACCAAAAACAGATGACTTCAAATCAAAGAATAAGCCTTAACTTCTAATAAGTTTCTACACTGTATGATGTTTCGTTAATGATTGTTTTCCTCTGTTTACTGTGTGACGGGGCACGGAAAGGTGGGATATATTTTCTCCCACCTTGATGGGGTGCTTTATTGTCCCTAGCAGACGGACAAGGTGTAAAATGAGAGGAGAGCAGAATGATTGTGTTTGTTTACCACTTTTAAAAAAAAAAGCGAACCTTGTAATGCCATTGTTAAAGATTTTGTGTTTGAAAACTGAAGCAATAATTGTTCGAATTTTGCTGACACATTTGATCGGACAATCTTGTACCTGTGTTAACGTTAACGTTCGGCGATTTTGCAGGTTTTCAGTTTGACTCAATACATTCAGAGCAACTTCTGACCAAAACTGAATGTGCGTAGTTTATAACTATTTTAAATAAATGCACAGCACAAGTGTCAGTTTGTTATAAAGGAAGGTGGTCACTGATTGTAAGGCCTCTAGGGTAAGAATGGTATCGATTTTTTTTTTATCCTATGCAAATTAGCTTCTCACTTATGTTATTTGTTGTTATTTAAGAACCATGAGATGTCTGAACATTGAACTCAACTCATTTGGTCAGAGTTTCTTATCTGGTAAAGAAACATGGCAAGACTTCTCCGGCCTTCTAAAATCTACTGCGGGTAGCAGACAGTACAGAGTACCACTATAGCACATAGGAAGCATTGCAGAAAAGTGCAGCTAATCATCAAACTCAAGCTCATTTTACATTCTGCTCATTTAGATTTGATGGAACGCATATCGAATTTGATATCAGCTAAATAAGTTAGCATAAAGCCGCTGTGTTTTAAGATAAAAGGGGTGCTTGAGATTAAATATGATGTGACTAAGCTAGTAACGTTACCTGAGATGAAGACGCTGTTTATCTTACAGAATTTTGATCAACATCTTTCTCAGTGTAAATTTCAAGCCATATATTCACTGATCAGGCATAACATTATGACCACCTCCTTGTTTCTACGCTCATTGTCCATTTTATCAGCTCCACTTACTATATAGGTGCACTTTGTAGTTCTACAATTACAGACTGTAGTCCATCTGTTTCTCTGCATACTTTGTTAGCCCCCTTTTATTCTGTTCTTCAGTGGTCAGTGGTCAGTGCAACACTGTGTCCACTCACTGTCCACTCTGTTAGACACTCCTACCTTGTCAGTCCAACTTGTAGATGTAAAGTCGGAGACGATAGCTCATCTGCTGCACAGTTTGTGTTGGTCATCCTCTAGTCCTTCATCAGTGGTCACAGGGCTGGATATTTTTGGTTGGTGGACTATTCTCAGTCCAGCAGTGACACTGAGGTGTTTAAAAACTCCAACAGCACTGCTGTGTCTGATCCACTCAGACCAACGCAACACACACTAACACACCACCACCACGTCAGTGTTACTGCAGTGCTGAGAAAGATCCACCACCCAAATACTACCTGCTCTGTGAGGGTCCATGGGGGTCCTGACCACTGAAGAACAGGGTAAAAGGGGGCTAACAAAACATGCAGAGAAACAGATGGACTACAGTCTGTAACTGTAGAACTACAAAGTGCACCTATATAGTAAGTGGAGCTGATAAAATGGACAATGAGCGTAGAAACAAGGAGGTGGTCATAATGTTATGCCTGATCAGTGTATCACCTATTATGGATTTGTGGGTCTGGGTTAAATATAGCTCATAGTAAGATTCTGAGTGTTATTACTGGGGTCCGATGTATGGTAGCTTGCAGCCTTTCAAATTCTATGTGCTATTTAAAATGTTTTTGAATAATGCGTTACAAATTTGAATTTTCAGATTTGACTGAAATGCCCATCCCTACTCTGGGGTAGAGTTGTTCTATGGCGGATGTGCTCATCTGTATTGGTGAAGCTTCTTTTGTGCAAATGAAGGCGCTTGATGTGCTCTGACCTTGATGTGTGGATGATTGGCAGCTTTCTGGCTGTCACAGCTCTTACCCTGCTGTATCACTTTGGAAGGACTTTTTGACACCATATGCCAGTATTTTCATTTTTCAAAAAGGCTTTCAAGTTGGACTTGCATTAACAAT